TGAAAATACCTTTTCAGTCCAGTACACGCATTTCTCACTGCTGGATCGGTTTTGCAAAATAGTGTTAATTGATTTTTGCTATGAATGAGTAGTTAATGAAGGCGAAGGTGCAAAGCGCATTCACAAGTCTGATTGTTGCAAAATCGATCCCTAAGAGCTTGCACTGCTTGTCAATGAGGTTAATGGAGGAAAGGATCGCACACTCGAAGAAATATAGTGACGACAAATTTTGCTTGACGGGTGGAACGGGTTGGGCGGACGAAGCGAGCCAAACGGGTCAAGCAGGTTTGAGTGGGTTAACTCTCAAAACGAGTTAAGGCATATAACCGATCCATTTTTAAATCCAACTTTGATTGAACCGGTTCGACCGACCGGATTAAATCGGGTCTTAAAACATTAATTTGAATTTTTAGATCTTAGAGTCTGGGTCTGCATTTTAATCTTAACAACTTAACTAGATAATCAATAATACAACATCTTCTTCTGTAGCAGTACTAGGCAGTTGGCATCAAATTGTGGGCTTGACGATGCCTTCATCGGATAAGCACATGACCCGGTAGTTGCTAGTTGGTGCTCTAGCCTAACCAGCATCACGAGACTGGCATGGCGTCACTAACATTATATTATGCAGATTCTTCAGACCACTATTTCTTCCTTCTCGATTTCTGATTTTTTTGCAACACTAATGTCTTCAACAGATTCATTCCTATCGCAGAAAGCTGGAGCAACACGCGCGAGACATCGATGCGTTTGTGCACTTTTATAGAGGTTAACAGTCTGAGGAGACATTGTGTAGAAAGGAGAAATATTATGCTTTGATCATCCTTTTTTTTTTTGTTTTTTTTTTTTTTTTTTTTTTTGAGCTTTTGCCAAGTGCCAACATTCTTGACCATCCTTAGAGCCGGCCAATTATGATTTTTGTGGATGGGTATCGTGGTGTGGTGGATTGATAAAGATATTTATTGCCTTTGCCTCTTTTGTGAATTCAAGGTATATTTCTACAGAATCTTTCAATCTAGAAAAACAAGAGCGCGTTCGATTTAGAAACAGACATGTTACGGAGTCCCGGAGTCAAAGAGTAGAGAAGGCAGAGGATAAGAGTAGCATGCAGATAAACTCATTTTGGCCAAACTTATACCAGCTGATTTCAAAACTTTGACTTGAAATTAATATTGAGGGTTTAAATCCCAACAATACTAAAAAGAACAAATTTTAACCCATCACATCAAAGTTAGGGATTTAAATTTTAACAATACTCATTAATCCTCTAATACATAAAACAAAAAAATTTTTTTACTAGTAAGTGCCTTAAGTGATTAATGGTACATTTATTATA